CCAAGCAACTGAGAGGGGTCTGTTTTTACTACAATGAACTGATTACAAGTAACTTAAGGGGCTAATTTTGTTTTCCAAAAGGCAGTTCAAATATACCTTTTTAAAAATGGGTACATTAGATAAATGTGATAAGGATAAATGTTTATACATAAACTTACTATAGTTTCTAAATCTTTTAGTAATTTAAAATCTTGTGGGCTGGCTGGTTAGCTCAGTTGGTTAGAGTGTGATGTTATAACCCTAAGGTCAAGGGTTCAGATCCCCTTTCCCACCAGCCCCCCCCCAAAAAGATTAAAATCTTAAAGTCATGTTATATTAGATTCAGCAATAGGTAATCATAAGATTATTGAGTCATTTCTAAGGAAGTTAAAATATAAAAACACTAATTATTAAACATGGTGTATTAGTCCATTTGTGTTGCTATAACAGAAATACCTGAGACTGGGTAATTTACAAAGAACAGAGGTTTTTTGGCTCATGATTCTGGGACAGCTGCATCAGATATGGGCCTCAGGCTGCTTCTACTCATGGCAGAAAGCGGTAGGCAACCGGCGGGTACAAGCAGATCACATGGCGAGAAGAGGCAAGAGGGTGGGGGAGGTGACAGGGTCTTTTAAACAACTAGCTCTTATGGAGCTAACAGAGTGAGATCTCACTCAGGACCCTCATCCCCCAGGGAGAGCATTAATCCATTCATGAGGGATCTGCCCCCATGACTCAAACATCTTCCAGCACTGCCATATTGGGGATCAGATTTCCACATGAGTTTTGGTGGGGACAACACATCCAAATGCCAGCATTCCACCCCCGGCCCCCCAAAACTCATGCCACTCTCATATACAAAATACAATTATTCCATCCCAATAGTCCCAAAAGTCTTAGCTTGTTCCAGCACTAACTTAAAAGTCCAAAATCCAAAGTCTCATCTGAGACCAAAAGCAAAAGTCCTTCCAGCAGAAAACCTGTAAAAATCAAAAACAAATATACCTACTTCCTAGATACAATGGTGGAACAGATATTGGGTATACATTCCCATTCCAAAAGGGAGAAATAGGCCAAAAGAAAGGAGAAACAGCCCCCAAACAAGTCTGAAACCCAGCAGGGCAGACATTAAATCTTAAAGCTCCAAAATAATCTTTGATTCCAAGTCCTGTATCCTGGCCACAATGGGGCATCTGGGCCTGCAAAGCCTTGAGCAGCCTCGCTCCCACAGCTCTGCCAGTCACAGCCCACTGGGCAGCGCTGGTGCCTGTGACTTTTCCAGGCCAGCATTGTACATTGCCAGTGGCCCTAAAGTTCTGAGGTCCTGGCAGCAGCCCTGCTGCCTTGGCTCTACTAGACATTTCCCTGGTGGGGCTCTCTATGGGGGCTCCGACCCCATTTTCCTGCTCAGCATTGCTCTAGTAGATGGCCTCTGGGGTAACTCCACCCCTGAGGTAGTTCTCTGCCTGGGCCCCCAGGCTTTTCCATACATCCTCTGAAACCTGGGTGGAGGCTGCCACGCCCTCGCTGCTCTCATGTCCTTCTGGCCTGCAGATTTAACATGACATGGATCCCACCAAGGTTTCAGGCTTCTACTCTTCAGAGCTGCTGCACAAACCATACTTGGGGCTGCTTGAGGCAGGGCTGCTCTAGCCAGAGCAAGTGGGATGCTGGGAGCTGGTTCCTAAGGGCAGCTGCACCCCGGGTCTGTCCTCCAGGGCAACTCTGCCCTTCTGGGCCTCAGGGTCTGTGATGGGAGGAGCACCCTTCCAGACTTCTGAAATGCCTTCAGGGCTTTACTCTCATTGTCTTGGCTGTTAGCATCTGGCTGCCTCATCACCAAACTAATGTCTTTAGCAACCAGTTTATCTGCTTCACCCTTGCATTGTTCTCCTGAGCTCTGCTTCTCTACCCCATGGTCAGGCTGCAAATTTTTCAAATCTTTACACTCTGCTTCCCTTTTAAATTCTGGCTTTACATCATGCCTTTGCCACCATAACTCAGAGTAGGCTGTTAAAAGTAACCATACAGCTTCCTTAGTGCTTCACTGAGTAGTAATTTCTTCCACCAAACATTCTGGTTCACAGCTCTTAAGTCCCACTTTCCACAAAGTCCAAGGGTATGGACACAATGCAGCCAAGTTTCTTCCTATGGTGTAGCAAGGGTGATCTTTTGTCCAATTCCCAGTAAGTTCCTCATTTCTTTCTGAGACCTCATCACCTGCATGGTCTTTACTGTCCACGTTTCTGACAACATTCTGGTCTCAACCATTTAACTATTTAACTCTAAAATGTTCCAAACTTTCTCTCATCTCTTTGTCTTCTTCTGAGTCCTCCAAACTCCTCCAACCTTTGCCCACTACCCAGTTCCAAAGCTGCATCCACATTTTCAGGTATCTGTATAGCAACACCCCACTCTTGGTACCAATTTTCTGTATTAGTCTGTTAATGTTGCTATAACAGAAAACCTGAGACTGGGTAATTTACAAAGAACAGAAGTTTATTTGGCTCATGATTCTGGGACAGTTGCATCTGGCATGGGTCTCAGGCTGCTTCTCCTCATGGTGGAAAGCAGCAGGTAGCCAGCAGGTATGAGCAGATCACATGGTGAGCGGAAGCAAGAGAGAGAGAGGGGAAGTACCAGGGTCTTTTAAACAATCAGCTCTCGTGGGAACTAATAAAGCAAAATCTCATTCAGGACCCTCACCCTTCACAGAGAACATTAATCCATTCATGAGGGATCCACCCCCATGACTCAAACAGCGTCCAGCACTGCCACATTGGAGATCATATTTCCACATGAATTTTGACAGGGACAACACATCCAAATCTTTCACAAAGGTTTAAGTTTATATACTTTGATATCTTATTTTATATGATATAAAAAAGGCTAAATATATCTTAATCTGTCAAGAAATTATAAAAACATGTCTTTTCAAAAATTAAAAAAGGGTTTTTCTCTACAAATATTGATATATACAACAGTTCAAGATTGCTTGCTTCCTAGGTTTTTTCACTGGAAATTAGGTTACTAAGAGTTAAAATTATAGTTAATATATGTAATTAATACTATTAGGTATAAGAAAAACAATTCTATATACAAACTATATTAAAAGTGGGATATAAGAAAAGTAAAAGGTGTTTTCGGTAAAAAAAAAAGTTATAAAAAAGACATAGGATATGGTTTTCATTGAAAGAAAAAACTTTACTAGTTTACAGAGTATTCAACGATTGTTTCGAGTTTTAAAAATGTTATTAACAAATCCCTCCTTGAGGAGGTCCCTCTGGGCTCCATAATGATTGAGAGATACATTTCACTGGTCAAAATTTGGGTCGTTTACAACATATGGTGAAAGACTCTTGCACTGGTATTGCTTAACTCGCACTTTACCCCATTTGCAAAGCACCAGCTTTCTCCCTTTAAAATAATAACGGACTTTTACTTTTACTCTGAAGAATTCTTTTAAGTCTTAGGCTTTTTTTTTTTCCTTTTTGTCTTTTTTACTGACCGGTAATGGGATTGCAACCCTTGGTGTTGCGCCCGCACCGCGCTCAGCCAGTGAGCGGGAACCGGTCTCCACATGGGATCCGAACCCTCGGCGGGAGCACCGCCGCCCTCCCAAGCGGCGCACTCTCCAGTGCACCACCAGGCCGGCCCAAGTCTTAGGCTTTTGACAGACTGTGGGTCTCATCTCTTAGTCCACTTTCTCATCTCTTAGTCCACTTTCTATTAGTCCACTTTCTAAGCAGGCCATATACCTCAAGATTACTTACAAAGTTAAACTCTTTCTTTAATGATTCATTTTCCTAGGCCTAGGGCAAGTTGCACTTATTACCTAGTTTTGAATTGTGAAATTGCCCTTTGCTGTTTCTTTTCTGTTTTTGAGCACACTCTTTTGCCCAAGGGCACAATTGTCAGATATGCCACAAACAGGTGTCTAGTCTTTCAGGTTCGCCAAGAGTGAAAGGATCTGATTACTGTCCCATTCCAATTCCCATATTTCTTAGATTCAGACTTAGACCTAAAGGCCAAAGTCTAATTTCTTCCCCTCCTATGTGGGACATGACTTTCTGGGAATGAGCCTTCCAGTGACAAGGGAACAAAATGTCTACCTGTGTTGATCATTAATGACTTCAGATGAAAGATTTTTGCTCAAAAGGGGAAAATAATCACCAAAAGCATCTGCTCTGACCAGGGGAGCTACATTATAGTGCCTGGGGAGAGCTAAGGCAGTAATCAGATCCACCTGTCCTGAAAAAGTTATCACAAGACGATTTCACTTAAAGGCACCTATAATGACACCAGAAAGCCATAAAATAACCTAATGCTTCTTGTAAACCTTACCCTAGAACCCTGCATGTAGGATGTAACCTAACAGCAATCCCCAAATCTATACGTCATGTACAACCCATAGAAAAACTGATGAAGTGATTAGGAGGGCTGTTCTACCTCTCCTCCTCGATTTCTCCCCCTTCTTCTGATTATAAAATGCCAAGCTCTGTTTGCCCTCTTTGGAACACGTTTTTCAGGGTGACCTGACCTATATGTCTCCCGGTTCCAATCGTCGTATTGGCTCAATAAATCCTTGCTATATGTATTTGGCCTTAGTTTCTTTTCAGGTCAACATCTTAGTAATTTAAGTAACGGCATAACTGTGATTACGGAGTGCAAAGCCATGAAGTTATGAAAGCAGAAATCACAAAGCTGCAGGTAAAAGCTTAGAAAACAGGGGATACGGTAGCATAACAACGCTCCAAGGAAGACTTTGTCCAGTGCGGGCCAGCTCCTGCCCAACCCGATCCCACCAGCCTTTGCACATCCTGCCTGCAGCTTCCGCTGGGCCCCGACGCGGGGGCGGGGCCGGGTCGCACGCCCGCGCCACGCCCCTTCCTCACCAGCTCCTAGCCCACCCCCTGCCCCGACTGTGCGCATGCGCCCCTTGCCCTTCGCGGTCCCGAAAAGCCTCGGGAAGGCAGTTAGAGACAACGGCGACAGGCCTCCGAAGTTGGGCTTCTTACCTGCTCGGCACAGGCCGCGGCCTCCTGCTAGTCCCACCTCGGTCGAATGGAGGAGGGAAAAGGGCACGGTTCTGATTGGCGAGCGGGCGTGTTTACGTCCTCGCCTCACCCGCAGAGAGGACCAGCTTTAGCCCCGCCTCTTCCTCCCCGTGGTATAAAGCGGTTGTTTGCCTCCTCCTGTCCGTCAGAGGCGGAGTCCCCTCAGGGTGCCGCGGTGTCTTCAGTTTGGTTTGCCGGGTTCCTTTGTGTCAGCGTGGCTGTCGGCTGCGAGAGTGCCTTGAACTTTTGGGTTGAAGATGCCGGAAAGTAACTTCGCAGAGGGCAGCGACAGAAGCGAGGAGCAGGTGTCTGGTGCTACAGTCATCGCCCAGGCCCTGAAAACGCAAGTACGACGACCTTCCTGGCCGAAAGGCTCCTACGAAGCCGGCGGGGACCGAGATGTTGTCTTGGAGACGAGAAGAACGGGGGGGTGGGGGGAGAGGAAGAAGTGGGGAGGAAGGGATGTCGGAGGTTTTCCCTTTAGCGTCCCGGAGAGGGGAAAGGATGTGTCCATGTGTCGGGGGCCCGGGCGTTTATTGCCCTGTCCTTCGGCCTCCAGGACGTGGAGTACATGTTCGGCATCATAGGCATCCCAGTGACCGAAATTGCCATTGCCGCCCAGGAGCGGGGCATCAGGTACATCGGGATGAGGAACGAGCAAGCGGTGAGTATGGACGCAGGTACCCAAGTGCATTATTGGGAATGATCAAAGATTATGGCAGATACTCACTGCGGGCGCTCAGCGCTTACCGCTCTGCTAGCGCTTTTCACATAGCCAGCGCTGTCGATTAACTGTTGTTAATCCCAGTTGACAGATGAGAAAAGTGAGACAGAGAGGTGAAGTCAAAGTTGCCCGAGGTGACGCAGCTGGTAGTGGCAGAGTCAGGATCTGAACCTAGGTATTCTGGGTCCGAGTCCATGCTCTTACTGCTATAGTGAATTGTGCTCCAAGTCTAGAGTGTCACAATTGGAAAGGGCAAGTTCTGAATAAAGTCTGACTTCCCTGTTAGTGAGTGAGCTCCAGGAGAGCAGGGAGGTTATTTTTTCATGACACATCTGTACTCCCTAGTGCCTAGTGTGGCGCCTCCATATGATAGGTGCTCAGAGAGTACCTGGGGGATGAATGACTGAAGGCCACATCTTGTTTTATACAGTAGGTGTGGGGCAAGATGAAGGACATCACCAATGTGAACGCCATGATTGAAATGCAGGTATCCAGAAACCCAGTCTAGTGCTTTTTCTACCACGTCATGTTGCCACCTTTCTTAGAGCCTTATTTGGAAGCAGGGAAAGGAAGATGTGACATTTTATTATCCCACTTTTAGTGCCTCCCCTGCCAACCCAGCTTTTTCCCTTTTCTCAGCCATGCTCGCTTAAAAGATCAAGAATCCACTTCTGTGATGTCACATACTGTCAGTCCATCTGACGCTAAATATTCCTGCTTTCCCCTCCCACTATTGTCCTCTAATTTAGGCTCTTGCCACCTCTTGGCCAGAGGTGGCATTACTTCCTTAAGGTGCTCTTTCTCTGCCATTAGATGTGAGCTCCTGGAAAGCAGAAATTGTGGTTTATTTATTAAATCCCCACAGTTCCTGGCTTGGTTGGGACTTTTGCATGATGTAGATGCTTAATACATTAGTTATTAATTGAATGATATTCCTTATTTACAAAGTTTGAGACTGTATTTTTTTCTTAAAACTAACAGATCTTGAGTTTCTTTTGCTTTTATCTTTTACTTTTCTTAGTTGTAACAGCATTCCATTTGTTTGTCCGCTTGAGAAGATGATGGTATTCACCTTTTAAGGGGACCCATATTTTACTGTTTTTCTAGAGATGGCATGTCTGCCACTGATTTCTTCTTCATACAGCAAACATGTTATCGAGTATGTACTAATGTTACGTACTCTTGTACATAACCTGTGAGAGAGGGATATAAAGAAGGAATGAGGTTTAGTCTTGACCTTCAGGTTGATCACACTCTGGAAAGATAAGGGCAAAAGATACAGAAAAAACTTATGCAGTGTAATAACTTTCACAATAAGTGTACATAGTATAAGGAACAGTAGTAGCACAGAGGGTGATTAGTTCTTTATGAGTGGGACAAGTAAGATTACCTGAGGAGGTAATTTTTGTTCATGCTGTTCCAATAAGATATGGGTTGAATATTCCTTATCTGAAATGTGTAGGACCAGAAATGTTTTGGATTTCAAATTTTTTGTGGATTTTGGAATATTTACATATATTTAATTGGTTGAACATCCTAATCAAAAGCCCCAAATCCAAAATGCTCCAATGAGCATCTCCTTTGAGCATCATGTTGGTGCTCATCAAGTTTCAGATTTTAGAACATTTCAGATTTTGGATTTTTGGATTAGGAATGTTCAACCTGTAATTTATAAAGGCATGGTGGGCAGTAAGACTGGATAGGTAGGCTGAGGGGAGGTTGTGAAGAATCCTCTCTAGTTGGAAAGGAGTTTGGACTTTCTTTACAGTGGGCAATGGGTGTTTTAGTCTGTTTTGGGTTGGTATAACAGAAATACCTGAGACTGGGTAACTTAAAGAGAAGAGAGGTTTATTTGGCTTATGATTCTGGGACAGCTGCATCTGGCATGGGCCTCAGGTTGCTTCTACTCATGGCGGAAAGTGGCAGGCAGCCAGCAGGTACAAGCAGATCACATGGCGACAGGAAGCAAGAGAGAGAAGGTGCCAGGGTCTTTTTAAGCAACGAGCTGTCCGGGAACTAATAGAGCGAGAACTCACTCATTAATCCCCCCTCCCCCAGAGAGAGCATTAATACATTCATGAGGGATCTGCCCCCATGACTCAATCAGTTTCCCACACTGCCACATTGGAGATCAAATTTCCACATGAGTTTTGGAGGGGACAACACATCCAAACTCCATCAACGGGGGACTCTGTAAAGGTTTTATTAAATAGGTGGGAGACATAATTAGGTTTGTAATTTAGAAAGATGATATTCATGGTAGTATAGAGTATAGAACAGCGTGTAGGAGCCAGAAGACAGACTGCAGCTTGAAATTTTATTTCAGTCTCTATATGCTTAGTTGAGGGTTCTTTAGCTCCTGCATGCTATGTTGGACACCAGATACAGAGCTGAAATGATATTCAGTTCCTGGCCTTGAGGGCCTTATAACCTAACTGTGGAGGCAGACACAGACAGTTTTATTATAATGTGATAAGTGCTGTAGTAGAGATGTATCCAGGGTGATGCAGAAGCCCAGAGAAGGGGTGCCCAGCTCAACTTAAGACTTCAGGGAAGGCTTCCCACAGAGATTGTGTTTGAACTGTCTTAAAGAATGAGTAGGCATTAACCAGCTAGGAAGGAGAGGGCAGGCTCTTCTGGAGGTGATTCCTAGATTTTGGGCCTGCATGACTGACTATGTGGATCATAGTGCTACTGACTGATATTGGCAATCTAGAGGAAAGAGCCAGTTTGTAGGGGAAAGATGATGAGTTCAATTTGAACATGTGAGTGGGGATTCCTGTGGGACATCACAGTGCATATGTCTCTAAGGCAGCCTGACTGTTTGTGGTAGTCAGAGGAAGACTTACACAGTGCCTGAACTAAGGGTAGTGACAGAATGATTCAGAGGACATGTGAGAACAGGCTAAGGCATTCAGGACTAGGTTTATGCTAAAGAGAAAGGTGTAGTTGGGTTGTGACTTGATTGCTCTTCATCAGATCCTTAGAGTAATAAAGACATATGTTGACCAATTGATAGGCAAGTAGGCAGACTGTCAAGAAGTTAACGGCTGTTGAGAGCTTTCTGTGTGCAGGCACTATTCTGAGTGTTTTACATGTGTTAACCAATTTCATTCTCACAGCAATGCTCAGAATTATGTTTATTTTGTAGATGAGGAAGCTGAGGTACAGAGTAACTCGCCAAAATCACAGTATAAAGTAAGGGAGCTGGGATTTGAATCAAAATGGTTGGCTCCAGATCCTGCTGTATTAAAGTACTATGTACACTATTCTGCCTGTGAGTGGAGGTAGTTTGGTAGAGAAATAGATTTTTATGGTCCTAGAACCAGTTACCTCTCAACTTTTGACATATATTACAAGAGGAATATACTTTTTGTTATATGTTGTTTTATATTTTGCATTGCATTGCAATATTTCTTACCTTGCTGTAATAAGTGATTAGTTTTTCTAAGCATCTAAATAAATGTTCTTATTGCAGCAGGTATTTGTTTTATTTACTTGCATTTCTTAGGAATGATCTTATTATTGTTTCATATGAATTTGGCCTTATGTGCAAAAGGGAAAAGTCATAGGGCCAATAGAGAATAGCAACAAAGAAGAAGAGCAGAGCCTTTGTGCAGCTTCTTAGTGGGTATATGATAGTGATTCCATTAATATTATGATTCATAAACTTTTATTTTTTACATTTATGTCCTTAATGTGGATTTATTTATGTGCAGTATACTACTTCAGTTAAAGCTTGGTGATTTGTTGAAATTTCCTCTTTTTTTTTTGGCGGCTGACTGGTATAGGGATCTGAAGCCTTGACCTTGGTGTTATAACACCACATTCTAACCAACTGAGCTAACTGGCCAGCCCAAATTTTCTTTATGGAAAATTGGTGGTTAGTTTTTACTTTTTACCGCACTTCAGCTCAGCTCATAATCAAGAGAGATGAGGCTTAAATTAAGTTAAATACAAGATAACCTGGAAAAACGTTGAGTGCAATTGGTCAATATATATCTTGATTACTCTAAGGATCTGATGAAAGACAATCAAGTCACACCCAACTATACCTTTCTCTTTAGCACAAACACAGCCCTGAATGCCTTAGCCTGTTCTCATGTGGCTAATGGCTTCCATATTAGACTGTACAGATATAGAACATTTCTATTACTGCAGAAATTTTTGTTGGGATAGTATGTTCTAGAAAGTTAATTTACTTGGTGATAGTTAAGCTAAATAAAGGCTAGAAAATACCCTTTATTTTTTTTATTTCTAAAGAAATGAGAAGAAATAATACTGGAAAAAAATGATGTCCCAGACTAAGAAGAAGAATTTGTTTGAGAGCACTCAGCATTTTTCCATGTTATCTTGCATTTAATTTAGTTTAGTGCCTCCTTTCTCTTCCTGGTTATGAGTTGAAGTGCAGTTAGAAACTAAAGGCTAACCACAGGCAGGCCATAAAGGAAATTTCAACAAATTGCCAAGGATTGAAAAATTTCAGTATATATTAACCTGAGCATGGGGAGATAAACTAGAGCTAAATACCAGAAAGATGACTAGAAAATCCCCAACATTTGAAAATTAAGCAACACTCTTGTTGGTGCTTTGTAAATATTTGAAAAGGTTAATAAAATCAATAAACTTCAAGCTGGAGCTAGCTTGTTAGCTCAGTTGGCTAGAGTGTGGTGCTGGTGACACCAGGGTCCAGGGTATAATCCCCGTGCTGGCCAGCTGCAACAAAACAAAAAACCTTTAATCTGATCAAGAATAAAATACTGATCAAGAATAAAAGAGAAAATACAGATTACCAATAGCAGGGGGAAAAAAGAGACATCACTACAGACCCTAACAAACTAGTGGGTTGAAGAAGAAATCATGATTAAAGTTAGAAAATATTTTGAACGGGATGATAATGAAAAGATGAGATATCAGACTTGTAGGATATAGCTAAAGCAGTTCTTAGAGGGAATAGCTTTAAATGAATCTATTAGTAAATAAGATTAAAAACCAATGCTCTAAGCTTATATTATTAGAAGCCAGAAAAAGAAAAGAAAAGCAAACTCACAATGAAAGGAATGAAATAATAAAAAGCAGAATCAATGAAATAGAGAAGTAAACCATAAAAACCAACAACACTGAAAAATTAGTTCTTTGAAAAGATTAGTAAATCTGATAAACCCCTCATGAGACTCATGAAGAATAAAAGAAAACACGTTACCAATATCAGTAATAAAAAAAAGAAGACATTCTGATGGATCCTGCATATATTTAATCAGTTGTAAGAGGATATTTTGAATAACATAAATGACATGGACAAATTCCTTGAAAAACTAAAAATTGATCCCCAAACCATTATTTGAAATTTATGGGTAGAGTATTTCTTGTTAATATGGAAAGTGTTTCAATTCCTGTTTATCATTAAGTTTTGGTTTCATACTTAATAATAAATTTTTTAACTCTACATATTTATGGTGCACAGAGTGATACTTCAGTACATGTATCCAATGTATGATGTTCAAAACAGGGAAATTAGTATATTCATCATGCTAACCTTTTGTCATCTCTTTGAGTTGAGAACATTTGAACTTTTCCGGCCATTAGAAAGTATTTGATAAATTATTGTTAATTATAGATACCTAGCACTACTATAGAACGCTAGAACTTATTCTTGCTATCTAGCTGTAAGTTCATATCCATTAACCAATCTCTTCTTATCCCTCCTCCCCTCTACCCTTCCCAGCTGCTGGTAACCACAGTTCTACTCTCTTCTTCTGTGAGCTCAACTTTTTTAGCTTCCACATGTGAGTTGAGAACATGCAGTATTTATCTTTCTGTGCCTGACTTATTTCACTTAACATATTGTCTTCCAAGCTTATCCATGTTGCTGCAAATGATAAGATTTCTTTCTTTCTTTCTTTTTTTTTTTTTTTTGTCCTTTTTGAGACCGGCCACACCGTGCTCAGCTAGTGAGTGCTGTGAACGCACCGGTCATCCCTATATAGGATCCGAACCTGCGGTGGGAGCGCTGCTGCGCTCCCAGCGCTGCACTCTCCCGAGTGCGCCACGGGCTCGGCCCAGATTTCTTTCTTTTATACGGCTGAATAGTATTCCACTGTGAATATATACCACATGTACTTTATCCATTCATCTATCTGTTAATGGGCACTTAGGTTGATTCCTTAATAGTAAACTATTCTTGTACTTGTACAGTAAGGATCCCAACATGCTTAAGTCCCAGTGTTCTTTTTTTTTTTTGTAGGCTTGTTATGCTGCCTCCGCAATTGGATATCTGACAGGCAGGTAAACTAAAGTCTGTTTTATTTCAATTGCTTTGATATTTTGGGATAGAACTATTATCTTTCAATTGAAAGATTATTTGATTTGAAAAGACTATAAATGATGGTATTAATAAAGAAAAATAAAGAAATTTAGAACTCTTCGAGGGTCAGATCTAAAGGATAATACCAGAGAAGTATTTTAGGGTGGAAACACATTGCAGTTTTGCAAAGTGAATCAGTGGTGATCAGATAGTGAGTTGATGTCTCATACCTTGTCTTGGATCTCGTAACTACCCCAGCACACTCAATACAAAAGTGCTTGGTTCAAAAATGCGATTGCTGGGCCTTGTTCCATTTGTTCAGATTTTTTAATGCATGTCCCTGTTACCCGACTTATCACCCCTCTTTAATTATTAAAAATTAACACATTTAAAGAAAAATATGCCCATTTTAGAAAACTTGGAAGATGTGGAAAAGTATAAAGAAGAAAATTAAAAGCACCTATGATTCCGTAACTGTTAAGAATTTGTATTTTCTTTCAGTTTTTTTTCCTACATAGACCTTTTTTTTTAAAAGCAGAATTTGGACTCTGACTATAATTCGTATTGTACTTCTTTCACTTAGGTTAGCTTTAATAAATTTTTTTATTTCCAAAAATGAAATTAGTTAAATTGCTAAGAAATATAAACTAATAAATTCTCAGAATCTAGAACTAACCAAAATTGTTCTTCCTCTCTGATAGGAACCTTCTGAATTTGAGACTGAGGAACATAGGCTATCCAAATAATATCTTCACCATTTCTGTCACTTTATTTACATATAAACAATATTTTAATCTTTTTATTTTATGTGGAAAAACTTTATTCATTTATTTATTTATTTATTTTTTTAAAGATGACTGGTAAAGGGATCTTAACCCTTGACTTGGCGTTGTCAGCACCATGCTCAGCCAGTGAGCCAACCAGCCATCCCTATATGGGATCCGAACCCATGGCCTTGGTGTTAGCAGCACCGCACTCTCCCGAGTGAGCCATGGGCTGGCCCTGGAAAAACTTTAAATTACAGAGTCATTGGTGCCAGAATGACTAGGATGATGAGTAGGGGATAGTCTAAAGTTTATACTTTAAAAAATTGTGTTATTTGAATAAACTTCTAGAACTACTTACATTTAAATTAATTAAAGTTAAACAACATTTAAATTACAGTTCCTCAGTTGCAGTGGCCACATTTCACATGTGGCTAGTGGCTACCATATCAGACTAAACAGATATAGAACATTTCTATTATTGCAGAAAGATCTGTTGGGTAGTTTGTTCTAGAAGGTTAATTTACTTGGTGACAAGTTTTCTTAAAGTAAGCCTTAAATAGAGATTCTTAAGAGATTACTTTATAAATGTAAAATGGCAAACTGAATTCTACGGAGATACCTTTTCCTTGAGTGCTATCAGTTTAGAAAGTCACATTGAGGGTAAACCATTCAAGTTTGATTAAGATTTTGGGCAGAGCACTACATTCAGAATTACTTTCCTCTCAAAGATCAATTGACATTATATTTATTTGTTAAGAAATGACAAAACTCACATTTTTCCATACAAAATATACTCAGCAGTCAAAAATTTGCTTCTGCATGCGGTCAACTTGATTTAACCCAAATATAATAGGAGCAATGTAGGAAGAAGTTAGTGAAATACAATGTGAAGATGATAGATACCTTATTTCTTGCAAGAAGACTGATACAATCTAATTTTTTAATTCAGAAAAATTCCAGTAATTGTTTTATCAATTATAGTAAAGACCTATATGTCCTTCCTTTGAAGTCCAAGAAGATTTCCATGCTTCACCCTAAAGTGATATGAATCAGTTGCTACATTTGATCTGCTTTTAATAAAATAAATTCTGCTTTGCTTCTAGGCCAGGAGTATGCCTTGTTGTTTCTGGCCCAGGTCTCATCCACGCCTTGGGTGGTATGGCAAATGCAAACATGAACTGCTGGTAATCATTATTATTACTGAAAACGTTTTCTTAGACGTGTCACTGCATGATTTTACTGAATAGAGGTAGTACTCATCTGGGACAGAAAGACCTGTAAAAACCCTCGGATTCATAGAAACCAAGGAATAGAAAGGTGGTTATCAGGGATTGGGGGTGGGATGTGGGCAGGGATAATGGAGAGGTGGAGGTCGAAGGGTACAAAGTTTGAGTTATGTAGGATTAATAAGCCTAAAGGTCTAAAGTAAAGCATAAGGACTATAGTAAATAATATTGTATTGTATATGGAAATTTGCTGAGAGAGTAGATTTTAGGTACTTTTACCACAAAACAAAAAGTAACTTAGAGGTAATGAATACTTTTTTTTTCTTTTTTTTGTATTTTTAAAAAAATTTTTTTATTGAATCAAAATTGATTATACATATCTTGGGGGTTCAGCATTGAGATGTGTTGATCAAATCAGTATTACTAGCATATATGTTGTTACAAATCGTAATTACTCTTTATGCCCCTTGTCCAATCCCTTCCCATCCCCCTTTCCCTTCCCCCTCCACCCTCTAATCACCCTAGATTTCTTTTCTCCCTCTCAAAGAATAATGGTTACTCTGTTGATTTGCTGCCCAAATGATCTGTCCAATGCTGAGAGGTGTGATCAGGTTCCCCAATATTATCAAAGAGCAGATGCTTCTTCTGTTACTATGAAATGGGCTTTGTGGAGAGAGACATCCTCCTCCTTTCTTTATCTCTGCTGGTGACTCTCCTTGTGTCAACTCACTCCAGTGGTTGGCAGACCATCTGTGTGGTGGCTGTGGCATCTATCTGCCTTTGTGGTGGCCATGGTTATGGTAGTGGCTGTGGTGTGCCACCCACATGGAGGAGATGTGTTTGGCCTGCTTCTTGGTGCTGGTGGTGTGCCTGGTTGTGGAGAGTTGTCTGATCCCCAGCTCCATGCCCCAGGTCCCTGAGTGGTTCCCGAGGTGCTGGCATGGTGTGCCTGGTTGTGGGAGGGGGGTCCGGTCCCCTTCTCCATGCCCTGGGTCCCTGGGCAGGCCCCAAGGTGCTGGCAAGGTGTGCCTGGTTGTGGTGGGGGAGTCTGGTCCCCGGGTCCATACCCTGGGTCCCCAGGTGGGTCCCAAGGCGCTGGTGCGGTGTGTCTGCTTGTGGGAGGGGAGTCCGGTCCTCTTCTCTGTGCCCCGGGTCCCTCTGCAGGCCCCAAGGTGCTGGCACTGTGAGCCTGGTTGTGGGAGGGGGGTCCGGTCCACTTCTTCATGCCCCAGGATCTTGAATACATTAATTTACTTGACTGTAGTAATTTCACTATGCACATATTTATTTATCAAAGCATCATGTTGTATACCTTTAATATACATGATGAAAAAAAGTATTAGGAAAAAAAACACCAGTAATTCCTTTACTTAGAGATAAACACCGTTAATATTTGGCATTTCCTTCTATATATATGTACATATGTGTGTGTATATATACGTACATGTGTAAATATAACTGTGTATATAGTTCCTCTGCTTTAAGTGAAAAATTATTTTTTAAAGATCCCAGTTTAGGGGCCGGCCCGTGGCTCACTTGGGAGAGTGTGGTGCTGATAACGCCAAGGCCACGGGTTCAGATCCCATATAGGGATGGCCGGTTAGCTCACTGGGTGAGCTTGGTGCTGACAACACCGAGTCAAGGGTTAAGATCCCCTTACCGGTCATCTTAAAAAAAAAAAGATCCCAGCTTAGTATGTAAAAATGTGTCTAATTCTTCACCTTGTCTTGCATTGTTAGCAAGACAATTGAAATTCGTGTGTTTATTGAGTTTGCTTTATATACTGATTAGCACTTATTCTCTGACCATGCCCTAAATGCCATCTCTGGTACTTTACCAATAAGATTGGATTGGAGGGGGTTATGCTCTAATCAATTTATAACATATTTAATTTTCCTTGTGGGAAGTACAGTGTTTTCTTTCTTGCCCTGTGTTTCTTACAGTTCCTTCTTTCCTAGTCTTTCTCTTCCTTATCTACCTTAGGGTCTGATATTTTTTGAGTTTGTTGTATCTTTTCCTTTTTTTTGCCTTGAAGGATGAGAATTCTGTTGCTGAGGAATGTCACTTATTCTGTCATTTCCAAATAAACTCATTTAAGAAAGCGTAAAATATTTCTTCTCCCTACTCCAAGAATAGTAGTAAGGGTGTAAAAATTGCATTTTACGTCACAACACCTGGAGGTTTAACATCAGAATCCAAAAGAGGCAGAGAGAGGGTGAAGGAAAAACATTTTCTATAAATTTTGTGTTTTTGTGAAGTTGAGGGAAGGGTTCTCTCACATCAGGTTGCTTCCTAAATATTTTTTAAGGGAAAATGTAATCTTTCTCTCCTTTTTTAAAAAACATTTATTGAGTGGTTGTTATGCATTGAGCACTCTGCAGAGTGTTTTACATGATGATCTCATTTGTAATTCTCTTTAAAACTGATTGACTATTTCAGGCCGTTGATTGTGATTGGTGGTTCCTCTGAAAGAAATCAAGAAACAATGGGGGCCTTCCAGGAGTTTCCTCAGGTACCCAGATCTAGTAACACAGTTACAAATCATTAGGAGTTACGGAGAAGAACAAAAAAAATGCCTGCCTGTGAAATAAAAAATTAAAATAAATAAATTAGGAGTACCTGAGGTAATTTAAAGGTAATTTTCCTGAACCACTACAAAACAATCTCAGGGTAGATATTAAGAGAGAGCTTAGGCCCTAGAGGCTGGCTGGTTACCTCACTTGGTCAGAGGCTGGCTGGTTACGTCACTTGGTTAGGTCAAAGGTTTGGATCACCTTACTGGCCAGCCGCCAAAAAAAAAGAAAAAAGGAAAGAGCTTCGGCCTTGCTTAGGAACAATCTTTCACTAAATACAGCTTCTTAACAGGATTTTAAACTGAAAATATATTCTTCAAAGAGTCAAAAAGATGTAGGAATAAAAATGACTTTGGACTATGCCTGCTAGACATTAGGAAAATAAAAAGTTGAGAGGAAAAATCCTACTCAAAATGATTATCAATAGACTATGGACAAGTTTATTTTTATTTTTGAAGGAGGAAGGAAAATATTTCAGAATTAAAGGAAATTTGAAAGAATTTGTCAACAAAATACTACAGTTTCAAGAAAACCAAATAGGTGAGAGTGAATGATTGACACTTAAGTTATAAATATATTTGAGGGAATTGAAGTTTTACTTAGTTTATAGTAGACAGTAACAACAGTTATTTAAAAGATGCTGATTTATTTGAAAAATAGAGCAGATAAGTTATTTAAAAGGAAATTTAGTTACCACAAAAACTATATAGATGAACAAGCAAAGCAGAGGAGAATGTCTATTACAAATATTTTTTCCTGAGGTGGGAAATAATAGTTTATTAAATGAAATTTAAAAACTGAAGAAAAAGATCACTGATTTGATTTAAAATCCAGATATCTGTTTCTCATGGAAGTCCTTAAAACAAAAGGACATGAACAGATTGAAAGTTGAGGATAATCCTAATTCTCTCATGCCTGTGGGACTAAGACTACCACTGTTCCATAGATTTCGTGCCAAAAAGTATCAAGAGAAACAATTTCTTTATAATGTTTCAAAGTACGTTAGACAGTGAAAAGTTAACACTACTGAATTCACATGTTCCAAACAGCATAGCAACAAAATATATAAAAGGAAAACTGGCAGAAATATAAGAATAGATTATTATTGTAACAAGATGTAAAAGATGAAGTTATATATTCCTCCTTGTGGAATCTCTGGGTCCAGGGGGAAGGTTATTTTAATTTTTCATAGACCTTGTCAACTTCCCATTTATATTCTCACCAGCAGCTTATGAGAGTGTCTGTTTCTGTTGTGTAGTAGATGGTGGGTATTATTAAAGTTTATTTTTGTCAATCTGAGAAAAGTAGTTGGTGTCTTGTTTTGATTTGCTTCCTGAGTCATACTGAGGCAGAAATTTGTGCTTTGAATAGGCTTTTAAGGGATAGTCTAGGTAATATATTTTCTCCATCTTGCCTCTAAACATAATGGAAAGTAATGACGTAACATTTTGTCTTTCTTAAGAAGAGTAATGTAATATTTGAGCTGAATTTTAAGTGATTTTCTTTTTCCATATAGGTTGAAGCTTGTAGATTATATAGCAAGTTCTCTGCTCGGCCAAGCAGCATAGAAGCTATTCCATCTGTTATCGAAAAGGTACAGTACTTAATAACAAGCTCTCCAAGTCAACTTGTTTTTTGTCAGTTGCTCATACTTATGTTATTTTTTAGTCTCAATAGAATGAGTGACAATTAGGAATATACTCAAGCAGTTAAAAATGACATTGTTAAAAAGCTATTTACATTTTAATGTTCACTGTCATTACATTTTAATTATAGAAACAGAAAGGTAAAATAAGTTGTTTTTGGAGAAAGTTTTTCTTGTTCTTTAGTTTTTAAAGTCACCTTTTTAATTATATAAAAGTAAAAAGAAAGGTATAATGAACTTTTGGGTACCCTTTCTGTTAAGCTTTTGCAAAATATTATTTTTGAAAATTGGGACTAATGCATATAAGACCATCTCTTAGTAAATTAAACAGCTTATTATAAATTAATTTCAGTTAACCAGCATTTATCTGTGAAGTTACATTTGAGCTGTTTGAAAACCATGAATTATAGAAACCATTTGACACATATAACATCACTGTTCCTGAATACTCTGCCAAGTCATTAGGATTAGGAAGCAGGTGAGAGTACATTTTACAGCATAAAAACTTGGCAGGCTGAACCTAGTGAATAATTTCCAAGGCTAAAGTGTAATAGAGCGTTGAATTTTAAAGCCCTAAGTGAATACTTTCTTTCTTATCTCTTTCCTTTTAAACAAAAATATCTTTAAAAATACACAGACTCAATAGATGACATTTCAGGACATGAAAATCAACTACATTGCATATTGATAAATTTAAAAAAAAAGGACATTTCAATTTTAGTTAAAATTGTGTTTTTCTCCATCTAAGGATGTACAGAAAAAATAGTGTTCATTTCACACTTTTAAATTATCTTTGAGTGGAATATGATAATAAGGATTGAAGTTTTAAAAGTCTTTTTTCCTATTTGTAATAAACATAGGCAGTTAGGAGCAGTATCTATGGTCGTCCAGGTGCTTGCTATGTTGACATACCTGCAGATTTTGTGAACCTCCAGGTGAATGTGAATTCTGTAAAGTAAGTAATAGTTGTACTGGAATTCTTAATTGTATTATCGTAATGCTTACGTTTTAAAAATAATTTACAAAGCAGTTTATAAGTTAATCTCCACTTGTCTTAACTTTTGATGATTTAGTAATTAAACTGAATCCTAGCCAAAGGGCTTAATTCTTTTAATTAAAGTGGTATTAATAAGTAATTATTTGGGGGTTTAATTACTTAATCAAATATGTGGAGCTTCCTGAACTCCTTATTTGGTATTGTTCTCCAGTAACCATAAATATATATTCCAATTAGTTTAGTATGGGTTATTGACAATCTTCATAGTGTAGAACAAGAGATAAGGTGATTATTGAATAATTCTTAGGACTCAGCACAAAAAATGTTTGTCTAGCTGTCTGTGATTTAAAAATATTCCAGCACTGATGCTTCTATGATTTGTCATTTCCTCTTATTTCTTAAATAAACACTGAAAGAAAAGAAGTCCAAAGGAACATTTTTTCACTGATATCTAAGTCACCCCCAATAAGGATGGGTACTTGGGTTAATCAGCCTGGGTACTATTTAGTGCATTCTTGCTGTTGTGGACCAAATGATTCTTTAGTGAGCACAGAAAGACAGTGGACCTTATTCAGTATACCAAGGAGTGATTTCTATTTGGGAGAGGCAGACAAAAAGAACATCTATTCTGCATAATACCTGAACATGATAATCAAAATAATGTTGAGGAGGGGGGAGGGTGAGCCTCAGGTAAGTTAACTCTATAAGTCTTCTTTTAAATTTTTGTAAATGTTCAGTGTTCTTTTTTCTTGTATGTCCAAATATTTGCACAATATTATCTGTCCAAATTTTGTACAGATTTTTATTAATTAGAATAAATGAAATAACACAACGAGGACTTGATGTCCAGAAATACTTAACTGTGACAAACAGTTTTAATATTTCTTTTATTAATATATAGTATTATTAAAATATTAACTTACCCAGTGAATAGAAATATAGTGGGATAGATAAAAGCATGGACTTTGGAGATAGAATGACATGTTCAATCCAGTCTCTGCCACGTGCCATCTTGTGACCTTGGGCAAGTTACTTACTTTCTCTGAGTCTTTTTTCCTCGATGGCAAAGTAGAGATAATGGTAATACCTAACCTCATTGTTTTGAAAATTAAATGAGAACAAATAACACATAGGAAGTATTAAATATTAGCTTTCAGTGTGGTTTTTACTGTTACAATAACAATAACTACTACTGCTACCTCTACTACTACAGTGCAAAGCCATTAACCCAAATTTCCTGTTAGTGAGTTACCCATTTGACTGGCTGTTATATGATATTAGGGAATAACTGTTAATTTACTAGACGTGATAAGGATGTTATGGTGGTTTAGGAGAAGGTCTTTATCTTTCAGAATTTCATGGGGGCGGTTTTTAAGAATGAAATGTCCTGATGACTATAATTTAATTTAAAATGGTTTAGGAAAAAAATGGATGTTTATGTGTGTATGCGTGAAGTAAATATGGTAAAATGATGTTAGTTGTTGAATCTATATGATGGGTATATGGGATTTATTGTACTGTTTTTTCTACATTTTTATATAATTGAAAATTTCACCATAAATTTTAGAGTTGGCCTCCTTTAATTAACAGAGCTCTTTATTTCCAGGTACGTGGAGTGCTGCATGCCACCTCCTGTTAGCATGGCAGACACCTCAGCTGTCTGTATGGCAGCATCTGTTATTAGGAATGCCAAGCAGCCCCTTCTTATCATCGGGAAAGGTAGCACTGAATAGAACTCTAAATCTTGTTAGGCTTTTTTTTGTTTGTTTTTTGGGGGTTTTCTGGCGGCTGGCCGGTACAGGGATCGAACCCTGGACCTTGGTGTTATCAGTACTGTGCTCTAACCACTGAGCTATTCAGCCAGCCCTAAATCCTGTTAGGTTTTTGAAAGAATGGTAAGTCTTTTTAGAAGTTGTCTTCATTATTTTTTAACATCTGTTCTAATGTTCGAGATTGGAATATGAGTTCTCTTCATCATTTGGCATTTTTTATTAGCTTTGAAATCATAGAATTATCCTTGAATGCCCAGAGAACTTGCCCTTTTAAGGAAATATCACCCATTACATGGTCCTATGAGTGAAAGGTGTCTTATCTATTATAAAAAACTTTGGGAAATCTAGAAGGGTAGAAAGAAGAAATCCCTTCATTCAACCATTTTTAACATTTAGTACTTTCCTATTCCTTTTTTCATTCATATTTTAAATACTCATATTGTGATTATACTGTACAGTCTTATATGCTACCTTATTCATTTCACATTACAACTTTTTTTATTGTCTTAAAATTACCTCCTAAAATAATTTTTAATGTCTATTTACGTGTATATTAACACTTACTTTACTGGCAGATATTTAAGTCTTTGCCAGTTGTTATCTGTTTGTTTGTTTAGGGTAGCTGTGACAAACATATTTGTACCTAAAGCTTTTTCTATATTTAGGACTTAAGATAGATCCTCAGAAAGAAAATTAAGTTAAAAGGTATGAATGTAATTAAGGCTTTTGGTACATATTGTCAAATTGCTTTCTCCCATGGTTTTATACCAACCAATTTATACTCCTGTCAGCAATTTATTATAGTATTCATTTTGTGTTCTAGAACTGAGGCTGCTCGGATCACCTATGACCATGCTAGTTAATTATCAACTACTTAGCAACTAACAACTTAGAAACTAAAAATAATTTTAATGAAAATGGTGGACAACAGAAAAAAAATTAAGGTCAAAGCTGAGTTGAATTCTGTTATATGATATATTTACTCTGTGACTTTGGTAAACAACCTCTTTGAGTCTCAGTTACCTCACTTGTTTGTTTTGAGCTTTTTTGGTGGCTAGCCAGTTTGGGGATCCAAACCCTTAACTCTGGTGTTACAACACCACGCTCTAACCAATTGAGCTAACTGGCCACCTCTCAACTACCTCACTTATAAAATGGGGGTGGGGCCAGCCCGTGGCTCACTTGGGAGAGTGTGGTGCTGATAACACCAAGGCCACGGGTTCGGATCCCTATGTAGGGATGGCCGGTTGGCTCACTTGGGAGAGCGTGGTGTTGAAAATACCAAGTCAAGGGTTAAGATCCCTTTACCAGTCATCTTTAAAAAAATAAAATAGGGATATTAACTACCTCAATAGGATATAATTAAATAGCAGAATATTAAATATTCACTCAGTGAATGCTAGTTTTCATTCTTTCTTTAACGAACATTTGATGAGTACTTATGAGAAGGCAGAGATTATAGAGTTATGAGGAATGCAGAGAAATAATGGTCTCTCCTTATGGGGGAGATAGACCTGGCAACAAATAAATGCAATACATATACCCTTAAGTGGTGTGTACAGAGAGAGTGAGGTAGATCCTCAAGGAGGATAGCAACGATTTGCTTGTATAGATAGTATGGAAAGACTATCCAAAAGAGATGGCACAGCAGCTGTACCTTGAAAAAATGGATAATAGTTCACCAAGTGGACAAAGAGACCAAAGGCGGTCTAGGAGGAGAGAACCAAGTGTACAAAGACATTGAGGCAAGAAAGAGAATATAAGAAAACTATCTGGATGAAAAAAAAGAATTGTTTTTCATCATACATGTACTATGAGAAAGGATTCTAAGGTGGTTTTGTAGGCAGGAGCATTGTATTGAATCTGAAAGTGTACTGTACTATTTACTAGGTTTCAGCAGAGAATTATAAGTTCTGAATATAGAGTAATATTCTGTGAGCTCAGAAAAAGAGTATAAAATTAAATAGCTAAAACATAGTGGCCTTGATGACATCAAAAATGGAATCATTCCTATATTTAAATAGTAAGTTGTTTTCAGTGTCATCAAGTACATAGGGCATGTGGTTATGCCACAGGCACACAGCTGTAAAAACAAATGATACATGTCCCACTGTCACAGTCACAGAATTGTAAAACCTATGGAAAGATCTGCAGAGTCTTAGAAATATATGCCCCTTAGAACTTCCACACCTGAACTTGGAGACTCTGTGCAATCCAGGTTTGCTGATAATGGGTAGCAAGGTGTGAAGGTGGAGAGAGCCTTTCTCTTTCAGGGCAAAGTTCTTGCCTGCCCACCAGGGCCTCCCAGTAAAGACAGTTTGTTCAGGGAATTGTGGGTAGTAATTAGTAGGACCATAGCCTCTTACCCATTCTAATGTAAGTGACACCAGCAAGAGATGTACTACACAACTTTGGGGGTAGACATCCTTCAAAATAATTGAAAATATTATTGAGGGGAAATTAGAACTATTGCTTTTTTAAGCATTTTAAAATACCAAAGATAAAAACCATAGTCACAATTTGTTTTGAGTTTAAGACCATGCATAAGCAGATGAGAGTATTTGAGGAGATCTAAAAGCAATTTTACATGAACCATGTTAAGGGTCACAGTGCCTGGAGCTTAACTGAATCACCCAACTCATTTACATTTCTTGTAGGTGCTGCTTATGCCCATGCAGAGGAGAGTATCAGGAAATTGGTGGAGCAGTGTAAATTGCCATTTTTGCCCACCCCCATGGGGAAGGGTGTTGTCCCTGACAACCATCCAAACTGTGTAGGTGCAGCCAGATCGAGGTGCGTGGCATTACAAATTTCAAATACAATCACTTGGCAAATTTAAATTATTGTGTAACCTTAATTAACCTAGGGAGAATTTCTGAAAGAACCGTGTAATTATAAGCATGCCTGTTTATTTTTGGACTTTTCAGCACTTTAAAGGTGTTATTTATTGACTGTCTTCTGGACCTCATGGTTTCAGATGAGAAATCTGCAGACATTTGGATCACTGTTTCCCTATTTGTTTATAATATGTTGCTTATCTCTGGCTGTTCTCAAAGTTTTTCTTTATCTTTGGTTTTCAGCAGTTTAATTATGATGTATCTGGACATGGTTTTCTTTTAGTTTCTTTAGTTTATCCAAATCTTCTTGAATCCGTAAATTTATGTCTTTCTCCAAATTTGGAAAGTTTATCACCAATATTTCCTCAAATATTTTTTTTCTAGACCAATCTCTTTCTCCTCTCTTCTTGAAATTCCAGTGATACAAATATTAGACATTTTGATATTGTCCCACAGGTTCCTGAATATCTTTTTATTTCTTTTCAGTCCTTTTGTCTCTTATATTTTCTATTTCTCTACTGAGAACTTCTATCTTTACATTTATTTCAAGAATGTTTTTCTTTACTTTATGGAGCACAGTTATAATTCCAACATCTGAGTCATTTTAGGATTGGCATCTATTCATTATTTTTTCTTTTGAGATTGCTCATATTTTTCTGGTTCTTTTTGAACTGAGTAATTTTGAATTGTATCCTAGATTGTTGAATATTATGTCTTGAGAATCTGGGTCATATTAAAATCCTCTGTAGGCTGGTTAGCTCAGTTGGTTAGAGTGTGGCCTTGTAACACCAAGGTCAAGGGTTCAGTTCCCCGTACCAGCCAGCCGCCAAAAAAACAAAGTCCTTTGTAGATTGTTGATTTTTGTTTGTTTGTTTTACCAAGCAATCAGCCTAATAGGTTAGGTTCAGACTGCAAGTTCTCTCTTACTTACTGTGGGCAGTATTTCCAGGGTGTGTTCAGTTTCAGAGCCTTTGCTTCTTTGGGCCTTTCTGCACATGTACAGCTCAGGGGAGAGCCCCAGACATGTGCTGGTTCATTCCCAGAATGAGGGATTTCTTTTCTCTCCTCTCTAAGACCTCTCTGTTCCCCATCCCCACTTTCTGATTCCCAGGAGTCCCTTTTCCTAGCCCTCACTGCTGTCTTATAGTACAACACAACTGGGGCTTCCCTCTAGGCAAGCAGCAGAAGAAAAAAATAATGAGGATTGTCCTATACTCTTCAGACCACAGGGTCACCTTTTCCCAGTTTCCTCTCACCTGAAAGTTAAAGTTTCTCTTGGAATTTTCACTGCTTGGAAGCCACCACAATGCAGCTGTTCAACAGGGCTGCCCTCAGAAGGGGGCTGGGAGAGGAGAAAAAGAAGTAAAATCTGAACTTTTCACTCCATACTCTCCAGCTTGCAGGGGTCCTTTCCCCCTGTTCTCTGGCCGAAAAGACAGGGTTCCTCACCAAGTTTTTGCTGCCTGAAATTCTGCAATTAGGGCTGCCCTTGGTTCAAAGCCAGGAGATAGAAAGGAGGAGGGGGAAAAACTCGGAAACTCACCCCCTGTGTGGGTTGCATCTTCAAACTTTTAGCTACCCTCCTAATCTGCCTAATATTGTTTACTTTACAGGATCTTCAGGTAGTGCTTTTTCTATTTTGTTCAGAGTTTTTAGTTGTAAAAAGTGGGAGAGCTTGGCTGTAGTGGACTTACCTAATCTTGGCTGACACTGGAAACCTCCTCTTTTTAGACTTTTAAAACACACTTTTTGAAGTATTTTGTCCTTTTAATTTCTTAAATTCTCTTTTTAAGAAATTTATTTTAAGAAATATTCTAAATATACAGACAGGAAGAGAGAATAACTTAATGAACACTTATAAAGCCACCACTCAACTTTATCATATGTTAACATTGTGTTAAATTGCTTTAGGATTTTATTTGGGTTTTTTTTTTTTTGTCTTTTTTCGCGACCGGCAACGGATTGCAACCCTCAGTGTCGCACCCGTACCTCGCTCAGCCAGTGAGCGGGAACCGGTCTGTATGTGGGATCCGAACCCTCGGCGGGAGCGCCACCGCGCTCCGAAGCGGCGCACTGTATCAGTGCGCCACCGGGCCGGCCCCGTATTTGGGTTTTTTTTAAGAAATAAGAAATTACAGACTCGTTTGCAGTCCCCTCTATTTCTTTCTTGATTACAATCCCTCCCTCCCTCCCTC